GTCGCCCGCAGCCATAGCCCAGTCGCGCTGGCCAACGGTTTACCTTGGCACCTGCGCCCCAGGATCTCCGTCACCGCCCTATATTGATGTCGCATGACCGCTGGGCGGGTGACTCACCGCTCCAGTGACCAGCCCGGCCCTGCCCGGCCCTAGGCTGGGATGAGGGATTCTGGTCCCCACCCTCCCTCCCCCTGGGGAGGCTGTCCACAGAGTTTAGCCCATGGGACTCGGGAAGTGTCTCTGTGTTTTTTGAGGCTTGTTGCTCCCGACCCTTTCTTCTTTTTAGGTTACACCCCCAAACTGCTGATGCTGGTAACTGCAGTTGGCTCAAATTGTGGCATTTCGAAATCACATGCATCCTTTGTACAGGCTGCTCACTCACAGATAATGAAAGGTTAGCCATCGCTAAGGGAAAGGCTTTTCTTTCCTTTTCTTTTTTTTTTTTTTAATTAAGAATCTTCGGCTTTATCAACGACTGATGTAATTTTTTTTTTTTCTGCGTCAAAAGCTAAGCTTCCCATTTTGTTTATCTAGTCCTGTTCCAGTGTCCTCTTAATCTAGGCCTCTAAGTGAAGCTGTAGCGCAATGGTTTCTGTACTACTCCAGGGCAGCTTTCATCTGAAAACCCTTTCTGCTCAGTCGTCTAGGATTGGTAAACAGGACCTTTACCTGCTTTGAAGAAAGCTTTCCAGTAATACTGAAGCCCTTTGTTTCCCCGGTTTCCCCGAGCATTAGATTGGAGAAACAAGAATCAAGTTGAAACCTCTCTCCGAGTACTGCATTTTAGGGTGTATTAGCACTTCTATTTAGAGACTCTCCTTGCATAGTTACTCAACTTTCTTATAAACATATACACTGTAAGAAAGTAAGTGCTTTTGAAAAAAAAAAAAAAAAGTAGGCCAGACCTTGAAAGTAACAACAACAAAACTCTCTCTCTCTCTCTCTCTCTCCCTCCCCCACCCCCCCTTCTTCCTCTTTTCTCTACAGGGTTTCTCTGTGTAGCTTTGGAGCGTATCCTGGCACTCGCTCTGGAGACCAGGCTGGCCTCGAACTCACAGAGATCCACCTGCCTCTGCCTCCGAGTGCTGAGATTAAAGGTGTGCGCCACCAATGCCTGGCTCAACAAAAACTTTTATTCATTAAAAATTGCTTGCCTGGGGATCCATTTAACTCAAGGCAACTAGAGACATATATCCCTTCACAAACAGAGGTAAAATAGGGTGATGTTTAAATTATGTAAGTCCTAAGAAAATACAGGAAAGATTAAAAGTCTTGGAACAGGAAAGTGAAGTTGATCAGACCAGGAAATGGACCAGCAGACAGATTCAGTATTACAGAATTAAAACCTTTCATATGACCAGTGACTTCGGGTAAGTATTAACTTCAGCTTGGGAAAAAATACGGGCAGAATCAATTAGTGAATAGCTTGGCCACTTTGTATAATAACATACTTAGACATATTAAATTGGCCCCTCTTACTCCAAAGGTTGGTCAACAGTGAAACAAGATAATGAAACCTTTTGGAAAGGGGAATTTGGTGAGCATTATAAAATAGCTCAGCAAATAGTAAGCAAAGGCAAGTCAGGTAGTTTTGTTATGGAACTTGTGATGCAAATTGTGAGCTGTGTAATCCACAGATCCTGTAATTACTGCAGGTAGTGCCAATGTGTTGTATTCAGTTAGCTGTCATTGAGCACTAGAAGCAGGGCTCAGACTCCCGGGAGGACTAATCAACTCTGGAGGTCTTAGCCTTTGACAAGGAAGTACCTACCACCTCATCCTATTTGCAGCTGGAAGAATGTATCTTAGAGCA